TTGTTCTTAAAAGCCAGTTGCACTAAATATTTCATTTTCAGCTTTTTCAAAAATAGTGGCAGATTCTTTTTAATACAGAAATATAAATTGGCTGAAATTAAAGTTCCTTAACCAAAGTTTTGCTTGGCTTTTCTGTTTCTTTTAATTGAGCTGTTTCAGGTTAGCCTCCTCCAGATTTATTGATGCCTGTGGGCTTCTGCTGTTGGAAAAATGGCTTAGGATAGTAAAATTATTAGGTAACTAATTGTCATAGGCTTTTCTATATTTCTAGGGACTTGCTTTTCACTTAAATGATTGTAAAAGTACATGTTAATTAGTCAGGACCTTGTAGTAATAAAATAGACTTTCTGTGGTGTTTGTTGAAATGGGAGACTGATTTTCTGCTTTTCCTCAGCAGCAGCGAGAGATGTTTTATTTAACCGTGGATTTAAAGGCAAAGAGAAATAGTTTGGATTGCATCAGGTATCTGTTGTATCTGGTTACCACTAATTTATTCTTTTTCCCTCAGGGGCCGACGCAACGGCACGTCCAGATAATCATGGAGAAGCTACTGAGGACAGTGAACAGAACAGTCATTTCCATGGGACGCGATTCGGAGCTCATTGTAAGTGTCTCTTGATGTCAACTGAAATTCCTCTGTCACATCTTTTTGAACCCGACTGTAATAGGATTTAGGTCCCAGGTGACCCCGAGCAATCAAACCCCTCCGTTAACTGGCTTTGTGTTCACTAAGCTGTAAAACCTTGGCTTGTCATTTTTCTGCAGTTTACACAGGGGGAGGAAAAATACTTTAAAAATACCGGTGTCCAGGTGATTGGCCAGATTTTGGGTGTGGGTGTTAACCAAAATGAGGTATTCTGTGGAATTAGCTGGCTGAAAAGTGTGGAAATGAGAGACTTGCGTGTTTATTACTACATTAGCAATCACTTGACTCTACAAGTATTTACTTGCCTTTATGACTACAGCTGAGAACCAAGATAACGGTGGTATTTGCATCGTTGAAGAATAGATCCCAAAACTATTATGTTTTAAAAACCTAGAGGAAGGACTGGTGGAGCAGCTCCAAGTTCTGGTGTCCCACTTTGGTGGGATAGCGCTGTGGTTTGAAAGCCTGACATTGGAATTTTTCAGCTGTATTGTTAATATTGGTGTAAATAATGATAAAAATAATGAGGCCTGTTGATATCTGAAATGGGAATAGATCTGGGTGTGGTTTTTGGGAGTTTCATGGTGTGTTTGCCTTTACCTCGTGCTCTTCCTCTGGCAGCTGATGTAGAGGAAACTGGTCGGAGCACCAGATTTCTCATCTGTCTGGGTAGCTGCTCTTCTGTTCTACAAGAATTTGGCTCAGTTTGGTTCGATACACCTGTATTTCTTTCTTAAAAAGGGATTTATTTGTTAGTCAGATATATCTGAGTCCATTAACGCTTTCTCTTTTTGATGTCGCCTTTCTTTGCAATTTTATTTCTTGCTGTAATTGAGAGAAATACAAGTTTTTTTGAGAAGACGTTCTGTCCTGAGCACATCCTACTTGTCTGTGGTGGTGCCTGTGTTGGCAAACAAGTGTGGAAATGAGAGACTTGCGTGTTTATTACTACATTAGCAATCACTTGACTCTACAAGTATTTACTTGCCTTTATGACTACAGCTGAGAACCAAGATAACGGTGGTATTTGCATCGTTGAAGAATAGATCCCAAAACTATTATGTTTTAAAAACCTAGAGGAAGGACTGGTGGAGCAGCTCCAAGTTCTGGTGTCCCACTTTGGTGGGATAGCGCTGTGGTTTGAAAGCCTGACATTGGAATTTTTCAGCTGTATTGTTAATATTGGTGTAAATAATGATAAAAATAATGAGGCCTGTTGATATCTGAAATGGGAATAGATCTTGGTGTGGTTTTTGGGAGTTTCATGGTGTGTTTGCCTTCACCTTGTGCTCTTCCTCTGGCAGCTGATGTAGAGGAAACTGGTCGGAGCACCAGATTTCTCATCTGTCTGAGTAGCTGCTCTTCTGTTCTACATGAATTTGGCTCAGTTTGGTTCAATACACTGTATTTCTTTCTTAAAAAGGGGTTTATTTGTTAGTCAGTTATATCTGAGTCCATTAACGCTTTCTCTTTTTGATGTCACCTTTCTTTGCAATTTTATTTCTTGCTGTAATTGAGAGAAATACAAGTTTTTTTGAGAAGACGTTCTGTCCTGAGCACATCCTACTTGTCTGTGGTGGTGCCTGTGTTGGCAAACGTGCTGCAATTTTACTGGTGTCTTTAGTGCCTCATCCACTACTTCTTAAAAAGGGATTTATTTGTTAGTCAGATATATCTGAGTCCATTAACGCTTTCTCTTTTTGATGTCGCCTTTCTTTGCAATTTTATTTCTTGCTGTAATTGAGAGAAATACAAGTTTTTTTGAGAAGACGTTCTGTCCTGAGCACATCCTACTTGTCTGTGGTGGTGCCTGTGTTGGCAAACATGCTGCAATTTTACTGGTGGCTTTAGTGCCTCATCCACTACCTTTGTATTGTTTTTTTTAATCTTCCTTTTTATCCCTTTGATTTACAACAACAGTTTTTGTCGTAAGAAAGTGATAACGAATCACCGGGAAGAAGAAGATTTAGAGGTGGCCCTGGGTGATGGTGAAGGAGAATCTCTGGAGGGTGGAGGTGATGGCTGTCACAGGGAGGAGGAGGTGATGGGAGAGTGACAAGTGTGAAGTAGAGCAGATGTGGGAGGTGAACGCTGCAATAATCCATCAGTCAAAGGCAGTGGTGGATTCTCCATCTCTTGGCATCTTCAGGGCAGGAAAATGGAAATTTAAGTAAAATACAACTTATTGAGGGTCATGGGAAAGAGTTCTAGGGCGAAAGTTCTTTTGAAGTTGAAGCTGGATGTAAATTGTCTTTCTTTGCCTTAAAATCTGTCGAGTTTAGAGTTGATGGGTCCGAAACGTTGGGGAGAAAGTTTCGTTTTCACCAGACTTCCATGATGTAAAAAAATTATACTTGGTTTTATTGAACTGCATGTTTGATATCATGTGTCTCAAACTAATTTCACGAAGAACTGAGATGGTGGTTGAATGCTGGTCAAGATTTTGTTCCATCTGAGCTTTTTTTATGTTGTGAGGTGTGATCTCACTGCTGCAGGGGATGAGCATGGAACAGGCCCTACTGCTGGTCTTGGAGACACACTGATGTTCACCCAAAGGGACTGACAGCAGATTTCCACACTCCAAGGATTTTAATCAACCACAGTTGTATTTTACGGATGCTGAAATAATACTGAAAATGTTCCATGCAGTCTGTTCTGCTCAACCAGAAGAGCATGGTGTCGGTGTGAGGGTTATATTTCCAGTGGCAATCCCCTTGACAAATTCCAGAGGATCTATAACACGGGCTGTTACCATTTCTTTAGCATCCGTGTATAATCTAACAGCACTCGATTTGAACGTTCCATCTGAGCTTTTTTTTGTGTTGTGAGGTGTGATCTCAGCGCTGCAGGGGATGAGCATGGAACAGGCCCTACTGCTGGGCATGGGGACAAACTGACGTTCACCCAAAGGGACTGACAGCAAATTTCCACACTCTAAGGATTTTAATCAACCACAGTTGTATTTTACGGATGCTGAAATAATACTAAAAATTGCTCCATGCAGTAAGTTCCGCTCAACCAGAAGAGCATGGTGTCGGTGTGAGGGTTGTATTTCCAGTGGCAATCCCCTTGACAAATTCCAGAGGATCTATAACACGGGCTGTTACCATTTCTTTAGCATCTGTGTATAATCTAACAGCACTCGATTTGAAAGCGTTTGTGAAAAATGAACCTATTTGATTTTGAAAAAGTGATTAACCTTTAAAACATAGAGTGAAGTTAAAGGCGTAGATGGTGGGTTTTGCATCTTAATCAAGAAAAAGCAAACACTTTGTACCGATGGTAGGATTTTTCAGTTTTAATCATGATTTTTTTCAGTTTATCCTGATTTTTTTTTTTAAACTATTTTTACAGTGACTTTTTTTCTTTAAGAAAACAAGTGATACTCACATGAATAGTGGTTCTTAATAGCTCTAAAACAAAGAATGTTACTGCTGCTCAATGGAAATTATATGGATTCAGAAAATAGCAAGTAATATAAAATCACTGCAGTATTTATTGACTAAAAAGTATTTTTTTTTTAAAAGCATGATATGGGGAAAGTGCATCGAGCAAATTGGTGTATGAAAGTGCATGGTATTGTCAGTGAACTCAGCAAAGCTACGGTATGTGCCACACTGAAAGTAAAGATGCATTTTTCTCTGTTATAACCTCATACCTGCGTTTTTATAAGATCTTCTACATTAGGGTGAAAATAGCTTTGTCAGTCACATTTAACTAAAAGCTCTAAAGAATTAGGATTTTTCTCTCGGTGTCTATCTAACCTGAGCCTGAGTGATTCTAAATGCAATACAATATGATACATTTTACACACTTGCAAAAACATTTTATTACAAATTACATTGTATGGTACGATATAACACGATATGTAATTTTTAAGCAAGACTATATGTATGTTAGCTTTTTCCAGTTTTAAAAAAATGTAAAAAATTAAAAATTTGCACCTTCTTAAGAAAATAGCCTGGACATGTACAGAACACGCCGTGAGAACTTTCACTTTTTTAGCTCTTATATGTTTCACTGGTGAATTTTCCTCTATCTTTTGCAATGATGACAGAAGACTGGTCTCTGTACGAGGCGGAAATCACACGTAAAAACAGTTCAGGTGTGTCGGGTCCCTGCCCGGGGGACGTTTAGAGGAGGTTTGTGGGGAAAAAGCTACTGATAGGGTGACTCTAACGACTTGTAATTGATTGCCATTGAGAGATGCTTCTTTTGATTTCTTATAAAACCCCCCCAAACGACAAGGCATGTTAGCATGGATGAGTTCATTAATGCTATTTTAAAATAATACAGAATCCTGTTGTATTTTTTTTACGTCCGTATTTGATATTTCTTTCTGTTTAGGACACTATTTTAAAATAATACTGAATCCTGTTGTATTTTTTTTTATGTCCGTATTTGATATTTCTTTCTGTTTAGGAAAAAAAATGATAATTCTTGTTGGGAAATGCTTGGGTTTCTAAAACATGTAGGGAGGGCTGTCTCATAAACAGTTTTAGATTTTCTATTAAAAACAGTATAAAATACATAACACACTTTTTTCTTCCACGTGAAACAATTGCACTTCCTTCCTGGCACCTCAGGATTCCCCTTTTCTAATCCTTCAGCTTTCACACAACTATTTCAGGATTTTCTTTCCTTGTGCACGAGAACTCGGAGCCCTCTTGAAGTTTTACTGCAAAGGTGACTTGTTTTCATTAAATGACTCCACAGTTCATTCTGGGGTGGACACAGACATCTTCTGCGCTTCTGTTGCCATTTTAACTTCCTTTTCTTGCTCTTTGCTTTGGGGGAGGGGAGGGAAATAAGTTGTTTTCCTCAAGTTTTCTTGTGGTAATGGGTGTGATGCTGAGCTAAGAGGAAAAACAGTGTAAATGAAAACACTTCAGGTCTACGTTTCTTCCACCTAAAGACTTAAGAATTTGTATCCTACGGCTGCTGCAGGGGATGCAATTTCAAGACCAATTCTTTGTAAAACAGTTTGTCACGTGAGGCTGTATGAACTTAAATTACCTTAAATCTTTAAAAATAAAAAACCCACAAAGCTTCCCACTCCCTGACTACTTCCAGCACAGGAGACTTTCCACAAATGGTCATTTTAGATGCAAATTTAATGGCAGTGGAAGAACTTAAAGGAAAAAGTAGGAGTTTATAATTCAGAGCAAAATTTTAAGTGTCATGTTAAAAAAAATAAAATAAGGGGGGATTGGGGGTTAATTCGCATCTCTTCCCTAAGTGTGTTGCTCAGCAGGTACAATTAATAGATTGAGATGTAAATTATAATGTGTTGGGAAACCCATCCGAGAAGCTTAGTAAATAAATAGCATTTAAAATTACTGCTCCTTCCAAAGGGGTTTCCAAGCATAACACACACTATAAATTTTCTGGTGCCTTCTGCAATAGCACAGAGAATTTCCAAAGGCTGCCTCACAAAAAGATATTAAATTGTGGCAAATGCCAACGATCCGTAGAGCTTTTGATTGTTCTGTTTGTGGGGTTGGTTTGTTTTTTTTTTTCTGTGCCAGAACATGTCATTTAGAGCTTTTGGGTACCAAAAGATGAAAAGTGAGCTGCAGGACAGATGATTGTCCCATAGCCTTGACCCTTGGTGGGGTTAAAGGTTTGTCCTGATTTTGGGGGGGGTCTCTCGCCGCTCACCCCTCGGAGCTGAGCAGGGAAACTTGTTCTCCTGGTGATGAGGACATGGCTTAATTAGACATGACGGTGCGCTGCCGAAATGGGATAGCCTGGGTGAAGTCTACATCGCATGAAGGCAAATATACAGATATAGTCACGTCTTAGAGATTATTCTTGGTCTTGGACCACATGAAAAATTGTGCTTTGTCCAGGATCTATGTGCTGAAAACTGCACTCCCCGCTCAACGTGGATCTGTAAAACTGAAGACCATTGCAAACATAAGGCTCGCTTGCTTGCTTTTGGTTTTTTTTCCCCTCGTTGGTTAGAGACAAGAAACCAAACCCCCAAAAGGCTTTAAAACAATAGTGATATTTAGCCGTGTACAGGATGACAGCCTACCATTGGACAGGTTACACCGTGACGCTTTCGGATCTAAGGGGAGGAGGGCGGGGGGGAGAAATAGTTTTACTTTCCAGCTTTGTACAAATTTCAATTCAGGTTTTACATCCCACATTGGTGAACTGCAAAGAGAAGTTGGGAAGGTGTCCCCCAACCCCTCGCTTCTGGACACGAGTCTGTAGGTACAAAGGCCTTTTTGGTACATACGGTGAGAACTGAACGCTGCCGGTAACACTGACCAGTCTACCAAGATCCCGTCAGAGGTGACTGGTAGAACTCCAAATATTTATTTCAAAGAAGGCCTTGAACTCCACACGAAATGGACTTGGGTTAAAGGAACCAGAGTTTCCATCTTCCATGCTTTTTTGATTCAGTTTTGGATTTTTGCTTGGGAGTGGAGGAGTAGCTCTCCTGAGAATAAGGCAAAGGTGCAACCTGAGTTTCCTCGATAGGATGAAGTTTTCTCAAAACTGGCTGTAGTTTGTCTTCTTGCTGTTTAAAATCCAATTCCACGCTAAATATGGGAAGGAAAAAAAGCAATTAGTTACTCATTACGATGATAGAAAGATTTCAATTAAGCCAATGTCTGACACTAATATACAAGTGCTTAATTCATGAAATCCGAATGCAAAATAAAGGTTTAAGTTGGATTTCCACGTTTCTTGCACTAGAAGTGAAGGGGCAGGGGAAGGTCAAAAAAGGACATACTGCAAAAGAGAAAAAGGACTAGGATTGTGCAGACTTCTCCCTCCTGTTTTAGGGGTGGCTTAAGGATTATGGAAGATTTTATTTTCCTCTTGGGGTGGAGAAGAGGGAACCAAAGATGCTGAGAGAAGTTTGGGGTGATTTTTGTGCTTTGGGTTCTTGAAGAGCTGAAGATTCTGCCTATGAGGATTCAGAGTGAAGCCCTAGGCATGGGTCCTGGAAAGATACAAGGTCTTTTTTGCATCTGGTGGTGCATTTGATGTTTGGTTGGTTTTTTCCTCTGGCAGTGATGTGTTTAACAGTTAAATACATCCTGAGCAGGAGTGTGAGAATTTCAGTGATTTGGAGTGATTTGGATAAACTTTCTAATAGTGGAGGAGAGAATTACGTTAGGTAAGAGTTAAAATATTCGAGATATTTTCCCCACCTCCATGTTGTGAAGCAGTAAAAAGGTATTCCAAATCAAAGAAGATAGTTTCTACAATTTCAGCTCTATGCTGGAACTAAACCTACAAGTATTGAATTTGCAGGAGATGGCTCTGTTGGGAAACCTGTTCCTGCAGCACTGCACTACAGGCTGCCTGATTAACCTAATGGCTGGCCTTGTTAATGAAATAAAAATGCCCTCTTCAACTTGATAACATATTCTTGTTTGCTGTTTAACTTGCAAAATGCATTAGATAACTGCGGCATGAATTTTGGGATAAAATTGGGATATTAGTAGATTGTGAAGGCCCCACCACATAAATGCTTTCAGTAACACAGGGAGGGAATCTCAGCATGAAATAGATTCTTCTCTAAAAGCTCTCTAAATCCCATTTACAGTGGTATGTAAATCTGTGCACAAGTTGGTGTATATTACAGTTTTGTTCCTCGGTATAATTTATTTTTGGGGGAAAAAAAAAAGGCATTTCAGCTGTGGCATTGGCAGGCTTCATTTTTGCTCCTTTCCAAATGTTACTCTTGCCGGGGAACTCTCTTTAGAGCTACTTGAAATTGATGTAGAAGGTCAATTGTTTAAAAGAAAAAAAAACCCACCCAAACCTTGCTGAACAGAGTAACTTTTTTTCATAATCAATTTCTATTAAAGATAAATCACAAGAGAAAACCCTCTTGGCTCTAGTCCGTAGGACAAACCCTGTGTTATTACCATTTTCTACTGCATAAAAGCGTTTGCAGCGCAGCTCAGGCTGTCTCTCAGCCACTTACATCAACCTGAAATATTCTACTTCTGAAGAGTATAAAGAGGATGAATGAAAACATTCATATTAGTTCAGCGTTTATAGCTGTAAATTCTGCAGGGTAATTGATTGTTGTTTATCAAGATCAATTTAGCTGGCTCTGTAGGTTTTTTAATGTAACTGCTCCTTTCAGGCAGTGATTTGTTTGCTTGAAAACCTGAGGTTTTAGTGAGTGTCTGTTTGTGCTGTAATAAGACAAAAAAACCTTATTCTGTAATTTTTCACGTATCTTTCTAAATTCACTATCGCTGGCTTTATTTTTGGTCTTTATATCTTACATTAAATTCAGCAAGTGTTACATATTTGTATGACTTCTTTATATTTTTGGTGTAGCAGCAGATACTCTCTGCAGGCTCTGCCTTTTCCTCTCCCTTCCCTGCATTTGGGAACTCAATTTTGTCACCTGTCACAGACCTGAGGGTTTGGGTTTCCTTAGTGCTATTTTCATACCCTAAGGATCTACAGGTTTCCCTCTCGACGTGACCTTTTCTTGAAATATTCTCTGGGCCACGTGGCTCCCTTCACTTCCAAACTTTGTCTGGTTTTTTCTCTAAGCCTCTCTGTGATAACTCCATAAAGTTAATTAGTGAGGACGATATGTTCTTGTGGCGTTACGCATGAGGGGGATTATAATTACTGGCTTCAGAAGTGTTTTTCCTTAAATGAAATAATAGTATTTTTCAATAGACTGACAATTGTGAATAAGCCCTACAAAAACAAGAGAGGTATCTCTATATTACATATTACTACTATCACAAATGTTTGCCTGACACATCTAATTAGGCCGTACTAAAGGTTCATTTACTTACAATATTGCCTAATTGAGAGCCTTGGGTTGGAGCTTCTCCATCTTCAGTGCCTACCTCAGTTTTATCCTGTGCATGAAACTCCAGTGCAAATGGAGAGGCTGCTTTTCTGAACAAGTATAACCACTAAAATTTTGTCTGGGATAAATATTCTGGTTTTCTTTCCAAAGTTAACTTTATATTTACAAAGTTTGCAACCGAAACTGTATGTTTTAGGGCAGCTGCCTGTGTAGCAGCGTTTGCATAGATGTCATTCCCTTGAAAATCTGGCCAAATAAAATCGAGTAACGGGCCCTTGAGAACTTTGAGATTAAAATCTCTGCAATTCCTTGGCAGTGAGAGGGATCTAGTCCAGGACTGCTCAAAATCTTCTCTGCAAATGCTGTTTGAAGTTCCTTGTCCCTGACTGAGTCCTAGAGGACCCTGATCCTGTTTTTCTGGTCATCTCCCTTCCTGCTGGGGGCTGGTACCCGTGCAAAGGGAACCCAAAATGAGATTTCTTTTTTTTTTTTAGTAATTATTTTTTCTTCCTTCCTTTCCCATTTCCCAGATCCTGGTGGTGTTTATTGCACAGCGTAGATGGGGATCAGACTGTAGTTTTGTCCCTAGGAAGAGCTGGGGAAGTTGGGGTTATAGCAGATGGGGCAGAGCCTTCCAGAAAGGTGGAGGGTGACGTTGGGCACTTAAATGCTGCCTCGAAATCTGTTTTCATCCACGACTGTTAATTTTAGGATTGAAGTCAGTGGGAACCTCTGTGGGGTTTCTCTGTTTGTTTTGCTCTGGGCTTTGTGCCCCCCCCCCCCCCAGCCTTTGCTTGTTGTGTTTGTGAAATGGAGTTATTGTGTTCTGGAAAACAATGAGGACTCGTGCGCTGCCGTAATAACGAGTTCCCCAGGACAAACTTGGAACAAAACTGTTTTCCATGTGGAATTTGAATCGTATTCAGGAAAGAAAGAGAAACAAAACCTATTGAATAGTTCTCATCAGGGAAGGACCGTGTTTGGTGCCTGAAGGCTTGAGGAGAGGAGTAAAGAACCACCCAGCCACTAATTGAGCGCTCCTGGGGCAGTAGCACTGACCAACCCAGGGTTCCTTGGGCCTCCAGCCCTTCTTGGAGGCCCTGAGAACATCTCAGAGGTGCTTTGGGGTTTGTGTGGCTTGGTATTTGTGTGTTCACCTCCTGTGTAATGCGTGGGGGTGAAATCTGTGCTTTCAAGAGGCGTTACAGAGATGTAAGTAGGGCCCGTTGTGTGATACGGGGGTGATGCAGAGCCCAGGTGGACAATCTGGACACCTCGCCCAAAGCGTGCACACAAGAGAGGACTCTCTCTTGCTGGCTAATCCCATCCTCTACATCCTCACGCCGTGGGTTAGGGATTGCTCGGGGGGATTTGCTGGTTTTGGCTTCATGGCTTTTTAAAAATGATTTCGCGAATATATGCTAATGAGTTTATTTTTTGCATGCTGGCAGTAGAGCGAACTTTTTCTAATTTTGTTGCTCTATAAGGGATTAAAAACAGAGTTTGAGGAGTCATAACCATTTGGTTTGAAGCATATGGGCTGTGGGAGGCCCATCTAGCAACAAGCTGAGAAATATGGGTGGCTTTTCTTCTTTTTTAACACAGTCACACGTTATTAGCATGAATCACTTTGAGACTATTGGATGCTAATGATTGGATATGTTTGTTACTTGTAAGATCGCTGAGTCAGAATAATTCAGGTCACGGATTGGGCTGCTGAGGGCTTTATCCCCTTCTGTTTACCTTTTTCTGACCTCGTTTGTAATGTTAAAGCCTAAATCCTGCAGGCATTTGTAGAAGGGTTTAGCTCTTTGCATTGAAGTGGGCTGGGTGAAGCAGGAATTAACGAGTATCACGGTGTCTCCTTCTGGGTCACGTTAATTGGATGACACGGCATTAGTGAGTGGCACATCTTGGAAGAAGGGGCTCCAGATAAGTGCTAATCACTCGAAAATTAGCCTAATACACTTTTAAGCAATCTCTGTTTAAATTTTTTATTTCAACCTGAGAATCAGAAACGCGGAGGATCCAGCGCCTTGTCAGGGGTAGCAAACCATTAAGATCCATTTTTCTCTACTAAGCATCTTAGAGGCTAGAGATAAGATGAGAAGGGATGTAAGTTAATTAATGTGGGTAGGAAATAAAAAGATGGTGAAAATTGCTATTCTCATCATTTCGTTACCTGATTTTGCTAGACTAATGAAATCTTAAGAATTTGTGTCCGCTTGTCTCATTTTCACTTTGTATTGCCAAATTTTAATATTATATATTTTTAATAATCAAAAATTTAATAAAATTTTAATAATTTTCACTGCATCTAACCTTTACAAGTGAACTACTTCCCTGTGGGCTCAGTGCTTACGAGTCAACTTGTATCACCATGATTTAATCTGTTTCATTTCCACTTGTATTCAGTTACGTTTCATAGATTCTAATAATGTATTTTCTGTTTAATAGTTAGAGTGCACCTTAGAATAACTTTAGTATCAAAGACCCAATGGAACACTGAAAATGAGCATAATTTAACATTTCAAGGGAGTAAAAAGTCGGCAAAGTAATGGTTAATGCAGCTTTGAGTAATTTTTCCTGCCAAGAACTACAACAGTCTATTCTGGAGTTGTTTGTTCCCCCTAAGCAGAAATTGGGTAGGGATTTGATTTAGTAAAAAGTTGCCTTCCAGAGCTAAAGTAGCCTTGTAAAAGCTCTCCAGTACTTCTGACCTTTGTGCCTGAAGGGAAGCCTGGCAGGAATTCTTCAAGATGCTCTTTCACAGAAATAATTCAAGATAAAGGCCTTAGAATAATGCACAAAATATTAAACAGAAGACTCATTTTCTCCTATAGATTTCTGTTCAAGGATTAAAATTCACATGGGATGGTAATTTAAACAGGAGCAGAAAGGGCAGTTCCACCAGAAGATAATCACAGAACAAACCCGGCTGGGAAGATTTAGTCCACGTGGGTTTTGGGTGTTACAGAATGACAATTTCTGCATATCAATGCAATTTCTTCTTAACAGCAAGATTTTGCTAAATTCAGTATTTCAGTTGACTTTGTCCAGACAATATACCCTAATAAAACCTCTTTTCTATCCTTAAAATTTTCAGTGGTGAATCTACATTAGTTTGGAAAAGACAGATGTAAAAGCTTGTCTTCTGTTCGTAAATTTGTCTTTTAGTTTGTAGCAGATGCTTCTGGAACTGGGTTTTGGCCTCTGTTTACACGATATTGATGCTAAGGAATAGATGAACATTTGACACAGGTTAACGTTTTATAAAAGGCTTGTTTATTTTTACCACGATTTTTTTTTACTACCATTTTAAATAATGTCTGGAAATTGCTATAAAGAGACGATGCTGAATACTTTTTACTGACTGTTTTAGATGATTGCTGTGGGGTTGGGACTTTATATTCAGGCTTTAGAACCCGTAGTGATGCTGCTGCCCAAGAAAAGTGGTTTCTGCTGGGTTTGAGCCCAGAGCTCCATCAGACACAGCACGATTGGTCCTGTCCTTACCCGAATCCCAGTGACCAGAGCCTGGTGACAACTTCAGGGTGGTGACTCAAGCCTTTCCCCCTCGTTAGAGTAGTGGCCAAACAGGTAATTAATTGGGAGTGGGAGCAGGGAATTGGTGTGTGCTGCAGTGGAAGAAGGCATCCGTGATGCCTGTGTCAAGTTCTCTAAGATAATTCTCATAGCAGAAAAAAGAAGAATTTTGAGGGAAGTGGGCAGTCAAGATGAGTTTATATTCCTGTTGATTTCTAAAGCAGTTTAAGGTTTTGGTACCTTGTCTTTTTAATAGTGTTTAATGTTTGCTCAGTTTCCTGTTTATTCAAAAAAATTAGAAATTAACCTGGTTTTCCTTTTTTTGTTAATACTAAGAAGGATGTATTCTATATAAAATATATATGAAAACAGATTTGGAATCTTAGGAAAAAAAAAGTAAATTTCATATGCAAAATAACTGTATTCTCGAAAACCTATTCTTAGAAAGTTTATTAACAGTATCAGTACTTTTGGTACTAAAAAGCAGCAAAGTCCCCTTAAAGTCTAAGAGTGGGGGGGGGTTTGCCTTCCACATTGTCTCTGGCTTTTGTAATAGATCATATTAATATTCTAAAAAGTCATCTTGAGGGGGAAGAATTTAATTGCTGGAAGGTAGGAACAGTCAATGTATCACTCGACATTCTGGGATGCAGTTGGGTAGTCAGTGGGGCAACTTAATCCTTCCTCTGAGATGCTGCTTCATTGCAGTTCCAGAGGTTTGAAAAAGCTCTGATATTTATTTTTTTCTCTAATGTTACTCTGTTCAAAATTGCAGAGGAGCAGAAGCTCCTACAAGGCAGTTTGTCTTAGTGGTAGTTTTATCAGGGAATTTCTCTTTTATCCCTTCTGGCAACTTATCTTGTCTTAGTAATTCAGTCTTCTCGTAGTTCCCCTGTTTTGCAGCGTCTTCTGGTTTCAGACTCCTTGCCTGCAGCGTATTTTCTGCTCGTCTGTCAAAAAGCTGAGCTGCTGTTTGGTAAAACTTCCCCTGGAAGCGGTGCTTTAGGGGGGTGCCCGGCATCAAGAGCTTCCATCCAACTGGCTGTTCTGGTGGGAAATTTGGAAGAGCCAGACCTGCCTGTTGGACTCTTCTTCTGTCGGTGGGGAAACACTTAAAATCTGTGTTTCTGGACCTGTTTCATTTGGGTGTAAGAGGCAGAAACTGGAAGGTTCCTTAACTGTAAATCTGCTGGCTAGAAATCAAGATTTAAAAAATTTTTCCAATTGGATTTTTTTAGCTAATGACACAAAATGAGTTTCTCTGATAGAAATGTGCTGTGTTGTACCTTCCCAGGCTGCCCAGAGCAAGAAACTGCAGAGGTGAGCTCGGAAAAAGGCAGGCAGGGGATGCTTTTTATGCTTTTAAACATTGCTCTAAAGGAAAGATAAATGAATTAGTTCCTTCCCCTCCCTGGAACAGCATCGTTCCCTGTTCTGGTAGTAAGTAGAAAAGATGGAGTTGAAGTTTTCCATCCTTTTTTGCTTCACTTCTAGGCAGTTGGGAGTTAATGCATAAATAAATACAGGTTTTCCACCCAAATCAGAGTCCGAGTAGAGAGTTAAGGGGCGAGGGGGGAAATTCTGTGCTTTCAGCCCTGGCCAACATTTGTACCTTCATTTTAGTTTGGATCCTCACTGTGATTAATAGTCATCTTTGTACATTTTCATCTGTGCTATATTGCCTGATTTTCTGAACTACTCTAAAACTGAGATGCATTTGTTTTCTTGTTACCTGCAATGCATCAAAATATTCACTTGGCTTTCTTTAGACTAATAGAAGAGGATAATGAAGTTTTCAGTAAGAAACACATCATCAGACTCATGATGGCTTCATGTCCTGCCCACCCTGTATCTGTTAACCCTTCATTATAACACAGCACCTGCCAAACAGGGCTCTTGGCTGATAAACTTTAGGAGGGGAACAAAAATCAAAAATCATATCCTGTTGCACCTGATTTGTTTCTAGTGCACAAACCCCAGGTCCTTCCTTCTGGAGGAGTGATTCCAGCAGGTACCAACCTTCTTTAACAAAACCTTTGAGCAGTTTGTCATGTTTGGTGTGTTTGACAGTAATGAACAAACCCGTATTGATGGTACAGAACTTCCAGAGCAGCTCTGCTAAAGCAGTATTGTGCCATGCAGGTTTTAAAACTTCTTCACTAATAGAAAAGTATGTAAAAGCCTGGGGAGGAATGTCATTTTACTGATAAAACTCTCCAGGTTGACTCGCAATCTGGTTCCCTTTGCTATACACAATCTCTCGTGCAACATGACTTCCCCAATCCAGTAGTTACCACTCTAAAAATAAATATGAAATACGTTGACTTGGATAGAAAATGCTAAATATCTCTATTGTGAAAATGAAGCTCCCCCTTCTAACCCTTCCCATCCAAGAGCGACAGCCGTAACACTGACTGCAGTCATCTGGTTTTGATTTAAAAATGTTAGATGTAGAAACAGGGCTCTGGTGAATTTTATTAATCCAGTGAAGTTAGAGCGATGTTTTCAATAAAATTTTCTTTGTGTTATTGAAAACTCAAGGCTAACAATTGATCGTTCATTAGTGAATAAATCATTACTTTCACTCAGGCAAAAGTGGAAATATGAGTATTTTTAACTTACCTATAGATAATACAGGCGCTGTTCCTGCACGTGTCGCAATTAGCTGTGTCTTGACCAGTCCGATATGAGAGCCTACAAAGACAAGAACACCAAGTCATTAAAAAGTAATTCAACGTGTTTTTGCCTTCTGATTCTTGTAATAGAAATAAGAACTTCAGAATAATTCTTTTTAACTTTGATATTGACGGCAAAAACCTAGCCATTAGGAAACCAGGATCAAAAATAACATATTCAGCTTCACAATGAGACATGAAGTTTTGGAAAATGAGTCTTCAATGACTGCAAGGAGAAAATGAAAGATTTATTTCCATTATATTTTTGTAAATTAAAAGGGAAAACAAGGAAACCAAGTGACATGAACCTCTTTTTGCATAAAGCTTGTGTAACTCTCACTGTAGAGGGACGTGCTCAGTTTCCACAGAGGTGACAGAGCTGATTTGCTGGGGTTTTTTCTGCTTTCTCAAACAAACAAGGCTTTTCCTAGTGGATGCATAGAACATAATAGTGAGAAAATGGATCTATTAGATGTTTTGTGCCTCTGCAATGAGGTATGAAGATCTGTTGTAGGGATGTTTGTGCCTTAAAAGGAAGAAAATGCCATTTAAATAACATTTCCTGTATGCACGTAGCCTCCAGCTAGTCCTTGTCACACTTTGAAGTCTGTTACAGCAGTGGCTCTTAATTTACCTGGATATTGCCTGGGACTTGGTCAAGTTGAATTAAAAAGGGTTTTTTTTAAGGCATTCAAGTACTTTTTTGAACATAGAAATTTCATTAAAATAAATATATTAAAAGGAACATAACTGTCTACCTATCAGCCCGAATGTTCTTGCATGCAAATGGGTTTAAAATGAAAATGTTTTGAAAATTTTTAAATGAGTTTAAAATGAAAAGTCAATATTTATGTATTAGTACTTCCTTTTTTTTTTTTTTTTTTTGTAAAATCACAAACACACTCTTCTAAAGTTAGTTTCAGTTTGTATTAAATGCAGATTATTATCTGCAAAGTTTCTTCATAATTTTTTTTAAAGAAATGGGGAAATACTTCATCTGTGGAATTGTGAAGATGCAGAAAATAGACCTGGTTGGGATTAGTTAAGGGAACACTTCTGGAGGCAGGGTCTGCCCTGAAGCCTGGGACCCCTCTTATCCAAACCCTTCAACTAATTGACCTCAAATAATTCAGTGGTGGCTTTGCTTGACAGGGGCATCTCTGCACCTCCTCTGCCCTTGCTTTGGGGAAAGAAAACCCTTTTCTTTGCTTCCCTGGCAAGGTAACAGTAATGAAAAATCCAACATTTGCAAAAATGTTGCCTTATTTTTATGTGACAAAATATCAAACCTATATAATACCTATAAGGTATTAATGGGAAGTGACACACAAACTGTGTAATGTGCCCGTCCCTAAGGTGGAAAATCAGCATTTCCTAAATGCTTCGGGCTGTTTAGGATGCCCCATCCCTGGAGGGGTTCAAGGCCAGGTTGGATGGGGCTTGGAGCAACCTGGTCTGGTGGGAGGTGTCCCTGCCCAGGGCAGGGGGCTGGAACTGGATGGTCTTTAAGGTCCCTTCCAACCCAAACCATTCTATGATCTGATCATTTATTTATCTTAGTGAATATGCTCTTTTCTTTGAAAAAGATCCCCTGGTCACGTGGCACTTTTCCTTACTATTTTAAAGGATTGAATATTGGTTTAAAAGTTTATTACATCACTTATGTGTTTTATATAGACATACTTTTAAGAAAAAAAGGATTTATCAGTGTGAAGTTGAAGGCGGAGAATGAACCTGAGGTTTTATTGGGGGGAGTTTGTGGTCAGAGGTGGCAGTTCTGCTTCCCCTCTGATGACTTTGATTATCCGTCGTTGGGGGTGGTGTCACGGCAAAGGGCTCTGGGCACAGCGGTAGCACAGAGAGCAGCTCCTAACAGGGTCTTTTTATTATAAAGACTTTTTTTCCCTTCTGAAAGCAAAATGCCAGGTACGGTTCTTGCTGTTCTAGTTGTGCTTTGTTATTTGAAGAGAGCTTGGAACGCTACGGGTTTGAAAATTGATGTCAAGTAATAAGAGTGGCCTCAAAAATCCTTTTAATTCAGAGAAACATACTCAAATTACTTAGATTGCTAAATTTTGATACCACAGCAAAGCCAGGTGTGCAAAGGAACTTCTACAAAGCAAATTTTCTATATTATGTACTATTCCTTACAGGGAAAAAACCCTGTACTGGTTTATATTTGATTATATTTACTTCTTATGCTCTCTAAGAAGGATGAAGTCGTATCTGCTTTTCATTTCCCCTTTTACAGTCTTTTGGAAGTTGACATTCAAATTACAACCACACTATTAAACCTGGACTTGTAAAATGTTTTTCCAGGTTATTGATCAAATACTAAAAACTCTTACTAAAGATACAACATTTGAAGTTTCCAGAGCAGTTGACGAAGGCTTTTATTTATTGCTGACATAAAGGGTGGTTAATCATAGAATAACAGCCTCCAGAGGAACACAGCACCGTTGTCTGCGCCTCTCGAGAGGTAAAGGCATAAATACACTGCTTCGGGTGCCAAAGTTGTTGTTTTGGGGTGATTTTTTTGATATTAGTTTCCCGTTGGGACATTTTAATTCATCTTTCTACGCCTGCAAAGATGCAGTTCAAAGACACAGTTAATTATCTGGCTCATCAATGAACACTGGTCTCTGCAGTTCCTGCTCGGTGCTGTGGGGTTTGCCCTGCCTCTCCTCGGCAGTTCAAGAAATAATTTAATATAAGGCTTTTTTAATAAGTTTTTCAAAGCCCAAAACAAATGGTAGTATACAAGTCACTTATCCTGCTAATACTTGTCCCCGTTGTCCTGGATTCTTGTGAGATGAGCCTGGTGACAAAGAGTGACAGTGACATCTTATTTGTGGAGTTCCTCAGGAAAATGGTTGGGTGTATTTTAGGGATTTGCCTGGTGCTTTGAGGGATTTGCTCTAAAAGAGCGAGGTTTCTGGCAGCAGTTGTAAAAACAAGGTGGCCAAGCCATCTGTTTATAATGGATCTTGACAAGTCTTTATTTTCATTTTTCCCCCCTAATTAGGGTGCTTGAGAACCACGGTTTTCACTGTGGGACTGGGAAAAGGTTGCTGTGATGGTTTACCAACCAGTTTCCACCAGTATCACCCCGTCTTAACAAAACAGGGATATTTTAGTATTTAATCACCGAATGCTGGTAGGCTGGGTACTTATTTAGCAAAAGCTATAATGTATTTGCTCTTAATGTGCCAGTTCAGCCATGACCTATAGCCCTGCTTCCAGAACTGGCAGTGCTTTTGAGATCTTTTTTTAATAAGGTGTCATTTACACTTTAAGTTAATAAACTGTCTGTCTCAAAATTGAGTTTTCAGTATTTTATTTCAAGTAGTTTCTAAAGCATATGATGATCTTTAAATGCCCAATAATTCCAGCCTTTCAAATACTTTAAAAACATATTTCCTAGTTGATGGTATGAGGCAGGCTCGTTAAGCTGATGAAAATGGTCCTTTGATATAAGTATTTAAAAATTATATGATACTTGGAGGATAGTTTGAAATACTGATTTCTCAGCTTACGTGTTCAGCACTGCTTGGTTTTAGCATCATTGTCATTCACAAACTGTTTATCCTGTTACTTCTTTTTTTTTCTAGTCAGATGTAATTTCTGATGAACTTTTTTAAAGCATCATTTTCCGTATTGAATATGTTCAGCTTTTCAGAGATGATTTTAATTTCAAACTACGGATTTAGTAATGTTGCTGTCTCTGAACCATCCTATTAAAGTTCTTTTTCGGCCCCAAGAACGTTCCGTGGTGTCACAGCGTGTGGTTTCCATGAGGCTGTTTGACAGCTCTTTAGCCAGGACTGTGTTGTCTGAGTGTTAGTACAGTAGAAATTCAATTATTTCTATATAAATTAAACTTCCTGAAAGAATTCAGTTGTTGATACCCCAGGGCTTTGGACTTTCACTTTCTTGTTTTCACATAATTATCTATATAAACACTTGCATGGAATTCATCTACTTTGTGCCAGCAAAGGTTTTACTATTGGCGGAGCATTTCTGTGTAAATCTTAGGGGATGAGGTTGATTTGCAGAGCGGACTTAACGAAGAATTAAGGTTCCCATCAGTGTTAACCAGTAGAAACAGTTTGCGAGTCCAGTCTGGGTACCAGGTTCAGGACAGCAGCGTTGTGGGTGATTATGCTTTCCTTGTGAGATGCAGTATTTTGGATAAGCTACCTTTTTCCTTAAAAAAAATAATTTTAAGGGTATTCCAGTGTAGAAGAGCTCAGGTTAGAGACCAGTAACTTTTTTCTTCATGGGTAAACTAGTCAGTGTTCTAAGAGTAAATCCTGTAAAATGTGAAGTTTTACGCAAAACAAAGATTCCTACAGGAAAATTGTTTTCTTTTGAGGGAAATGAAAGTTGGTTTTGGTCTGTTTTAGATCCAAAGCAGAGTATTTCACTTTGGACCGAGGGAGATGCCTGGGAGCCAGGAGTTCCCACAGGCTACGACTCCCATCGGCAACGTACTTCATGGAAGAACAGTCTCAGCACGAAGCCTTGCAGCTCCTTTTACCAATCTTAACATCTTGATTTGGGGAATCAGTTTAAGTATAAAAAGTGTCACATCTTATGACTTGTTTCAGTTTCTCTTTTTTTTTTTTTCATCCATTCTTGGATTGAAGGAGGTCTTGGGTTGGCCAAGAAGGTCAATCTCAATCACCTGGAGGTTGTGCAGACCCATCTGGTGGGAAAATTGGGGCACCTCAGCTCTACTGCTTTGGGGTGTGGATGTGCCCGTGATGTCTAATCGCTCACGGGAAGAAGAAAATCCATCAGCCTTAAAGTGAAATTGAGATTGAGATCTAGTTACGTTTTTTTGTACTGAGGTGTGACTGAAAATTGTGACTGTTGAAGGAGAAGTGGTTGATTTTGCCCTGCTGGTTGTCCTCCCCGTCTCCTGGTCTCATCCTGGCTCTCCTCATGTGGTGTGGTCCCTCGGGTGCTCCTCTGGGTGAGGTTAAGATGCAAGGTGCAGTCAGAGGGCAGCAGTTG